AACAGAGGTAGTGACTGTACGGGATGGTGGTGGCCATGGCCGTGGAGGTAACAGAGGTAGTGACTGTACGGGATGGTGGTGGCCATGGCCGTGGTAGTGACAATGGAGGGAGTAGACAAGTGTTGGTGATGCTGTTGACTGCAGACCCCCCACTTCGTAGCCAAGTGAGCGCTGCTCTTCCTTTAGGATGTCTCCCTGTGAACGCTTGTCCATTGAGTGAGGGGTCATGAGCAAGTCTTGCACACCAAAGCAACTCCAAATGGACCACTTCCTGGGATTGTGGGCCTGAGTGGACAGTTAGGCAGGATGAGGCTGATGTGGCCGTGTAGCGACAGCACCAAGACTCAGCCCTTGGTGTTTGTCTCAGGGTTTCTATTGCTTCCACAAAACACTGTGATCAAAAAGCATGTTGAGGAGAAAAGGGTTAATTCAGTGTACACTTCCATGTCGCTGCTCATCAGGAAGGAAGTCAGGACAGAAGGCAGGAGCTGCTGTAGAGGCCATGGAGGTTGCTGCTCTCTGGCTTGCTCCCCATGGCTTGCTTGCTCAGCCTGATTGCCTATAGAATGCCCAGGGATGGCCCCACCCACAATGGGCTGGGCCCTCCCCCATCAATCACTAATTAGGAAATGCTCAGTGGGCTGGCCCACAGCCTGATCATTCGCAGGTATTTTTTCATTGGAGGGAAGTTCCCTCCTCAAAGATGACTACAGTTTGTGTCAAACTGTCCTATCTAGCCAACACAATATTCATGGCTCCAGGTAGTGTCCCTGTTTACGTCATTTCCTGGACTCTCTCGGCCAGTTGCCTTCTAATGAGGTCTGCAGTTGGTGGCCGTTTTTAGTCACCGGGTTGAGAAACCTGGCATCCCCTGTAAGAGGTGGGAGATGTTGTCACAAACTCCTTACTAATAAACAAGTGATGCATAATAAGAAACATCTAGAACCTTCTGAAGCATCAATCCGGTTATAGTTTTTTTTTTTTTTAATTTCAAAGAAAATCTTATATTCAGTTTAAAATTTTGCATATCAAAGCTAAGCTGGGGTACATGTGGCCTCACTTACACCTGAGTCCTCAACCTTATTTCCAGGTCTCTCCCCCAGCCAGGAAATGGTAGAATATACCCAGATACCTGAAAGGCTGGAGGCAGGAGGATGAATTGAGCCCAGGAGTTCAAGACCAACCTGGGAAACACAGACAGACCCTGTCTCTTAACACCGAAAAAATCTCCAGTCAGCTCCCCAGACAGCACTCAACCTTCATCAGAGTAAGGTCGGCCAGTGCAGCCAGGATACCACCCAACTGCCAGCCCAGGGTGGAGGCCAAAACAGCTGGTGAGCAGGAGTTCCAAAAGAGAAGGCTGCAGAGAGAGACCCGAAACAACAGCCATCAGTCCGACACCAGCGCTCCAGGGCAGCCCCACGCCCCCAAAATGGTGACAGTTTCTATGGTCTGATGAAGCAATAAGAAAGGAATACCGCGGAATGCCCACATCCTGAACATTCTTCTATCGCCAGCCAGCTGCCCAGCCGGGATGCTGCCTCTGGCACCCCCATGGCACACCGAGCCAAGAGTCCAACCTGCCTAGGATCATGTTCTTCTGCAGGCTCTGGCTGTGGTCTGCTGACCAGCTCCTTTCCGGGCAGCCTGCAAGCTGCATGAGCCGAGCCCAGGTGTGCTATCCCTCACCGTTTTGGGCTGTGTTCAGTTCACTGGTGTTCCTACAGGGAGGCTTTCTGTTTTCATTAGCAATTGGGAGGGCCTCATGTACAATTTGCCTTTCAGCCTGAGGATTAGGAAGGACACAAGAAGCTTTAACTAACTAAATTCCTGAGGTCTGTGGAGAGGTCTGCATCTCTGACAATGGAGCTGGGCCTACTTCCTAGGCCTAAGGATGTATCTGAGTCAAACAGCTTGTGCCTGACTTGGACTGTGGGTCTCCACTGTGGAGCATCTGTGAATCAAGTGGCTCTGGGATGAAAGCGAAAACCCCGGACTGTACCATGTACTGTCCCCCCTTTAAAGCATGAGCCTCCTGCTACTGCAGCACCCAGGCACACACTCCCTCACATAGGTGGTCTGTGCATTATTAGTGAGCATTTGTGGCTACATGTCAACACCTCCTATGTGGTCTTTGTCAGTGTGAGATGGGTAGTAGCAACTCCAGTTTGAGAGATGAGAAGTAAGTCTGAAAGTCTGTAAGTTTCATCACTAATAAAAGACTAAACAAAGGATTTAGGTTTGGTCTTAATTACTGAATGGCATCGCCATGGCCATTGCACAGAATCCAGGCATAAGACATTGTCAGGAGATGGGGGGGGGGGGGTCCTGTAAAGGGCCATAGGAGCAAATCTGTGTTTTACCCACACATGGCGGTACACACCTGTAACCTCAACACTCAATGGCAGAGGCAGGAAGATCAAAAGTTAGACTGTCTCAAAACAAAATAATAAAAAACTTGAGCCTCAAAAAAGAATAATAATGACCAACGTGTAATAAAGTATTTCAGAAGTACAAAGACATGCAAGGTAGTGGTGGTGCACATCCTTAGTCCCAGCACGTGGGATTAGAGAGAGGCAGCTCCGAGTTCAAGGCCAGCCTGGTCCATAGAGCAAGTTTCAAGACAGCCAGAGATACACAAATAAACCCTGTCTTGAAAAAACAAAAAAGAAAAAGAGAGAGAGGAAAAAAAAAGGGAGAAGGGGGAAGGGAGGGAAGAAGGGAGGAAGGGAAAGAAAGACAAAGAGACATTCCTGGGGGCTGGAGAGATGGCTCAGAGGTTAAGAGTACCATCTGCTCTTCCAAAGGTCCTGAGTTCAATTACCAGCAACCACATGGTGGCTCACAACCATCTATAATGAGATCTGGTTCCCTCTTCTGGCATGCAGGTGTACATGCAGGCAGAACATTATACATAATGAATAAATCTTAAAAAAAAAAAAAAAAAGAAAAAGAAAACATTCCTGATAACAAAAGGATTCTGGCACCAAGTCATTCTTTTAAAAGCTGGTCAGTGGAGGAATCAAAATATTATTCTTGATCTTGATGCATCAGATATTTGGGTCGCTGAATGATTTTTGAAGAAAAATTTTTCTTTATAATAAAAGGGCACATGGACAATACCAAAAGAATGATGGATCTAGAAAAATCCTTATCTAAAAAATTCTTATTCATAGTATAAAAATAATGTATATGTCCTTGTTTTGGCAGCACATATACTAAAACAGCAACAAAACAGAGAAAATTGGCATGAGCCCTGAGCAAGGATTACATGCAAATCCTTGCAAGATTCCGTATTTTTAGACCAGTACAGGCTCAACCCTCATCAACAAAGCTTCTTCTTGCAGTAGATGGAAATTAACACAAAGGCACACAACTGGTTAACATGCAGAGAACAGGAAACTTGAGAGTGCCTAGCCCTAAATGGGATGTCCCCACAAGAATGAGGAATCTATGCAGAAAAGGGGCCAGAAAGATTATAAGAGCCAGAGGTAGTGTGTGGCTTCAAGAAAAGTGTTTTCTAGAAGCAACAGGGAAGATGCCCACATGACTCACAACAGCTAGGACAGCACACACAAGCTCAAGACAGACAAAATTCCAGCCAAGAGAAAGGGATGTAAGCACAGAGCCCCACGGCAGCTGAGGAGCTAGCAGTATGCTACTGCTGCAAGAAGAGAAATCGCTTTTCCACACCTGGTATTTCAAGCACACTCCAGGGCAGGCCGCCCACCCAGGAGCAGTCAGCCTACACAAACTGGACTTGATGAGTTTAGAGAAAAACAAATGTAGAGGGGAAGAGGAGAGAGGAAAAGAGAACGAACATGAAGTCGGATGGGTAGGGAGGTGGGTGAGGATCTGGGAGGAGTCAGGGGAGGGTGAGGGTATGACCAGAATACATTGTATAAAACTCTCAAAGAATTAATAAAACAACTAGATAACAATCATTAAGACTGTTGATCACTCACAGGAAACATTAAAGCACCTGCAAAGCCCACAACACAACAGGAAGCACTCAGTGTTCCTGAGGAAAATGAAATACGAATCTTAACTAGCCTCTCTTCATCTACAGTAGGAACGGGAGATAGACAAATAGGAATTAAAATGCATGGTGAATGTACAAAGTGTCTCCAACCACCCAGTGTCTTCAAAAGACTCCTGTGGGAGAGAAAAGAACTTGTTAAATATTGAAAGTGTTAAAGAACATATGAATTAATTCGTTTGAAAGCAGATTCAAGAAAATAGCTGTGAAAATGCATTTTCAGACAGAAACACAGAATTAGCTGACAATGAAATATATCAGGTAACAAGTTTAATAATACCAACATCCTTGAGTCTGGCATGAAAAGAGGTTTGTTTACTTAAGCAGCTTTGTTTCACATGTTAGCGTTTTAGCTCGTTAATGGAAGGGTTTTGTTGTTAACGATGCTATGTGTGTGCCATAGACACGTGTGACGGTCAGAGGGCAGCTTTGGAAGCTGGATCGCCACCATCTGTCTGTGGATTCCAGAGATCAAACTCAGTTTCTCACTGTTCTGTGCCAAGAACTCTAACTGCTAAGATGTCTTGCTGTCCAGAACGTTTTTTGAAATAAGCCCAGCCTGCCAAGTACTGAGATTACAAGCATGTAACACCATGCTCGAGAAATTTTTAAGTATAGTGATTGTTTTATTTCATTTAAGCTAGTTGAGTGATTAGAAACACATTCAGAGAATTTATGAGGTAAGTTATGCAAAGCCTGAGATTTGCTGTAAAATATGATTTAAAAAAATGACAAAAAGGAAGCTTAATGAAGCTGCTCAAAACAGTCTTTGCTTTTCCTGCACATCTGAAAGTGTGAGCTTCCTCATTTAAAAGTGCTGTGAGCAAAGGCCTTTTCCCTAGGAGTGCAAGGATAATTCAACCTGTCAAAGACAGGATTTGGAGCTCACAAAAACAATGCAAAGCAACACAAACAAAACAACAGTTTCAACAAATGAGGGATTTATTTCTTGATTTTCTTGTGCAGCATGAATCCAGCAGTGGCAGGAAACTGCTTACTGCTCTGCTTGACCAGGGCCAGGTGCTGTCAGCTACCCCCAGCCCTTTTGCGCTGGGAGCTGTGATTTCCAGATTCCCACTCTTGTGTGCAGAAGGCACCACTCCAGGAGGCACATTGCATTTCCTCAAATCTCATGGGCCTCGCTATTTCAAATGGTTGCTGTAGTCTCAGTCAAGAGAGGTTGGAAACTGTAGGGCTTTTAGGGCATGTCCATACTTATATTAGTTTTCGTACTGCTTTTATAAAACACTGGGCCTAAGCGATGTAAGGAAGGGATCATTTGGGATGACAGTTCAAGGGGTCATCCAGGATGGTGTGAAAGGCCTGGCAGCAAGAATGTGATCGAGCTGCTCACATTGTGTCTACAGTCAGAAAGAAATGCTCACTTCTCCTTTTGATACAGTCCAGAACCCTAGCACACAGAATATCACTAATATGTAAAGTATGAAAAACTACTCAGACGCGTGCCCAGAGATTTGTCTCCAAGGTAATTCTAGGTCCCATCAAATTGAGAATTAAGATTAACTTTCATGATGCCAAAGATAGCTGGCAGTCTATGTCACAGTCATTCATATTAGGTTGATCCCTGTGCAAATTCCACTCCACCCTGAGTCTGATCTAAAGGAGATCCACAAGGATTAATCTAATATTTACTATGCAGAGGGAAAAGCAAGAAAATGACAAGTGTGAATGGCAGCAGTATTGTTCAAACATGAAATCAGATTTTCTTCTGAAGCCAGAACATCAAACCTACAGGCAGAGGCACCACTGGAGCCAGGCAATATGCCCTGGTCCCTGAGATCCCAGAGCATGGCATGTCCACCTGGCCAATCTCTTCTAGCCCACAGGCTTCTCCACGGAAGGACATGGCACTGGGTGCAGGTCTCTGTTCTGACACAGGCTAATCACTGACAATGGTTCGGGGCATGTCCTAAAAGGAAGCTGTGAACAACTGACATGCTCACATGACACTGGCATCCAAGAGGATGTGCCACATGGCCCCTTCAACAGAAGTGTAGGCAATCTGAACTGATGTACTGTGACAGAAAACAGACCACTGGTCTGACAATGGATGGGTTGGGAAACAGGAGCTTGGGGATTTGGGGAGTAGAACATTCTGTGTTGTTTTCTGCCACTAAAATGAATGCCTGAGATAATCAACTTACAAGGAGAGGATTCTTGTGGTCACAGACTTGGAGGTCCACGGTTGGGTGACTAGGAAGCTTTGGGCTTGGGACAAGGCAGCATATCATGGTGGGACTCATGCCAGAGCAAAGGACTCAGCTCTTCCCAAGCCTGGGAGTGAAAAGAGAAGGGGCTAGGTCTCACAGCTTCCTTCCAGGGCATATCCTCAATACCCAACCCCCAACCCCAACATAGATCCCCTTGGGATTGCTCTGCAGCTATTATGTGTTCAAATGTTAACTGTTTGCCCCCCAAGATCCTCATGAGCAAACTGTCACTGATCAAAAATGACATGGTGCAAACCCTGCCTCCCAAATTATTCCTGAGTGGCTAAATAAAGTTGCCTACAGCCAGGACTGGGCAGAGAGAGGTAGGTGGAGCCAAGGTTTGCGGGCTTGTGGGTAGCAGAGACCACAAGGAGGATAGAGGAAGGAGGAAGAAAGGACAGCAGGTCGACATGGGTTAGTGTGAACTAGAAGCATGTGGCAGGAGGAGCTTGCTCTGAGGATTGGCATGATGGAGAGAAGCAGCTCAGATGGAAAACATGTGCAAGTATTTATGGAGGTTTAGGCTCAGGAGCAGACAAGACAGCTTAGACAGTTAATATCTGCCCAGCCCCAGTGCGTTAAGGCCTAGTACAAATCTAACAGGTTTCTGTGTCCTTTATTTATATAATAGCAGGTTAAGATATTATATAAATATATATAATATATTTATGCATGTAATATGCATGTAATCCCAACGCTCAGTGAGGCAGAGGCAGGAGGATCCCTGTGAGTTCGAGACCTGCCTGGTCTACAAGGCAAGTCCAGGACAGCCAAGACTACCACCAGGGGACCAACCCTTCAACAGATGGAACCTCGAGGGCCTTCCAGATCCTCTACCTGTATTGTGCGGATGGCTTATGGATGACGTATATACAGTCTCTTCCTGGAGAGAACCTGGCCCTTTGGTCACTAGTGTGCTGCAGGCATATGCAGACTAATATCCTGAGGAACAACTTCTAAGCCCTCTTGACCATCTAAGCCTTGACTTTATGAATTAAACCAAGCAGGCCCTCATTTGTATGACTGTGGCAAGGCCTGTTAGCATCATGAGATTACTACATCTGTCTCATGCTCATCACCAGCTGCTCCTACAGTTTCAAGGTCCTCCAAGGTCAAGGAAAGTGCACCATGAGGACAGACTGATGGAGCAGAAGCTGCTTGGGAGTCATCAGATAGGCACGTGATTGGCTTTTATGTGGGTTTTAAGGTATGAGGATAGAATGGCTCAGAATCTGCCCAGCACAGTGCCTACAGCTTAATAATAAACCACAGTGTGTCCAATCACTGGGGAACTAGCTGGTCAAAGAAAACTGCTGCCAGCTGGGCGCAGTGGTGCACACCTGTAATCCCAGAATTCAGGGAGGAGAGGCAGGCAGTAGTTCTGGAAGGTGGGAGCCTGGGAGCAGCAGGAGGCTCACAAGTTCAAAACTCCCAGAGCAAGAATAGGCAAGGGGGCACTAAGGAACACAAAAAAAGGAGGGCTAGACCCAACCCAGCATGTGAAGAAGTCAGAAAACGCAGCAAGACATAAAGTGCCATTGTGTGAGAAAACCGATGAGCTCATAGGAGCCATTTCCCCTGCCAAGAGCCAGGAATGGTGAGGTGCACCAGCAAACCCAGGTCACCACCCACACCCAGAAGGCTGTATATGGTAATGTAAGCCAAATCCATGAACCCCACACCTACACCCAGCAGCATGCCTTGGGCAGTGTAAACCACAGTCATGTGAGTCACTGTTCCACACCCAGCAGGGTGCAACAGAAACTATGCCTTGAAGCAGCACCCGCCCAGCAGGATGCAAATTTCACAATTTCCTTTTTCTTAACAGGTGACTAATACTCCATTACGTAAATGTATCCTATGTTCATCAGCTGATGAACATCTAGGCTGTTGCAATTTCTGGGTATTATGAATGAAGCAGCATTGAACATGGATAAGCAAGTTATCTCTTTAGTAGGATATAGAACCTTTGGGAATATGCTCAAAAGAGGTACAGCTGGATCTTGTAAGATGTATTTCTAGCTTCCCGAGGAACTAACACACTAGTGCACACTTGAAGACATGGCTGCACAAGTCTGTACTCCCACCAGAAGTGGAGGAGTGCTCCCCTTACTCCACATCCAGCACGAGCTGTCATTTGTTTTATTGTTCTCAGCCATTCTGACAGGTGTAAGGTGCTATCTCAAAGCAGTTTTAATTTGAATTTCCCTGATGGCTAAGAATGTTGGACATTTCTTTAACTGCTTCTCAGATATCTGTGTGCTATCTTTTGAGAGCTTCCTGCTTAGTTCTACATCTCATTTAAAAAAACATTGATTTACTATGTACAGTGTTCTGACTGCATGTGTGCCTGCACACCAGAAGAGGCACCAGATCTCAATATGGATGGTCGTGAGCCACCAGGTGGTTGCTGGGAACTGAACTCAGGACCTTTGGAAGAGCAGCCCGTGCTCTTAACCTGAGCCATCACTCCAAAGTCCTATGTATCTCATTTTTAACTGGGTTGCTTTCTTGATGTTCAGTTTTCTTAGTTCTTTATGTACTCTACATATGAATCTTCCATCAGGTGCATACTTAATGAAGACTTTTTCCCCATTCTGTAGGATGTGCGCCACTTTATCCAAAAAGACTAGGGGAGGGAGAGACTCTCCCAACAAAGAAAGCTGAATAGTTTTATGGAGAGAAAACGGGGGAAACTAGAATACAAGGATTAAGTAAGGGAGGGATGAGAAACAAAAGTAAAGGAAGAAATACAAGGAGGAAAAACTAGCATCAAAGACATTTTTAAAAATTCTATGTAAAACTACTACTGTAAATATATACAGATACAGAAAAGAAAGTTAAATGGAATTAACCATATAATGGGGAGACAATGAGCCAACTAGAAATCTTCTATTAGCAAGTTAAAAAGTCCAGTGCTGGGAACGGGTTACATTTTATTGAGTAGTTGGCCAAAGGGATCCCATGACTCCAACACCACTCGTTCTCTACAACCTTACGGTACGGCCCTATTCATAGACAACATATCATTGAACACAGACGAGGCAAGTAGAAGCTCCACCCCTACTGACTAGCACATATGGTTCTGGAAGGCACTATGCACACAACCAGAGGAGAAAGACAATCACCTGTATCACACAACTACAAACTTTGTGACCTACAACAACGACCTGACCGCAAGATATATGGTGTAATAGTGGCACAAATGCTATGGGGATAACCAACCACCTTTTGGCTGGATGTAAGGCCCACTCTATGAAATGGAGCCTGTAGCCGACACTGTTAAAGGGGCCAAGAAGAAAACCTATTGCTCTGCTATAGGAATATAGCAAAAAATTATTCCTAAAGATATACTTTATACCATTTTTATATCACTATTAAATTCTATAAATGCATTCATCAACCATGTTGCTTTTAAATATTATTCTTGGCACTCAGGATTGTTGAAGTCCACTTTATTTTGTACTTTTCCATTTTCAAATAAAAACTCAAATGTTATAAAGTATTCACAAAACTCTTATAAATAATTTTACCATTTAACCTATTTTCAACAAGATTTTTATACAATTTTACATGAAAAAAAAATCAAATTTCACTTAAAAGTCCAATGAGGAAAAAAAAAAAACCTATACCCTCTGTACTGCTTTAAAGTCTAACACAAACATTTCTTGAGCTATTGATGACTTCTGACAATCTAAAAATACGTACGTATTGGCGATGGGACAATATGAGAAAATATGAGCATTTCACATGTCTCACACATTCCAAAGTTAACAACCTGTCAGAGATCCCACGTAAGTGCCTGAAAATGATCTGGCATAAACCAGACCTGTCAGTAGGAGGTCGCAGAAATATTTGCGCTAACATTTACACTTCTGTCTTTCTAAGAACAGAGGGAACATTGGCTAAATAATTCCATTCATTCCAAATCTTTAATCTAAGTATTATAGGCTCAGAATGTAATCAAATCTAGGATATTTTCCACCAAATAAGTGAACGCATTAGTGAACTTGTTTTTCAAGAACAGTGTCTAGAGATTTTCATATACTGTCGCATGCTTAGTGGCCACAAGTTTAACAATCTGTAGTAGCTGACATTAACCACAGTTAGTGTGCCACAAGCCCATCTACATTTTGTTGTTGTTGTTCTTGGTTTTTGTTTTTTGTTATTTTTTCCTTTTTTTCATGTATTTTTCTTATGCCTAAGAGAAAAGACCTATGTCAGGTTTGTTTAGGGTCATAAACATAACTCCATTTTTAAAGCTACATTATTATTTAATGTACTGAAAAACAAAACAAAACAAAAAAAGAAGTGAATAACCAACTTCTTAGGTAATTAAAGCCATGTCTGTAGGGGGGACATTTTTAAAAGTTAATCTTACCAGCCCACACTCTTTACATAATGTCTCTAGCAACAAGATTAATAGCAAGAAAAATAAGCCTGTAAATGCCAACCCATTCTTAATATTTAACTGAAATAGTCTGACCAAGGAATAACACTACCTATCTGAACTGTGCCATCCATAAGCAAGTACACAGAAATAAAATGCTTTTAAAACCTAATCTTAATACTTCTTACAAGGGTAACAATAGTGCAACTCAACTCCTGAGAGTATTCAGACTGAAGGTAAAGTCAATGTCAAGGGATCAGCATTCAACAATCCTTAAAAACCTCAAAGTACCACGAATACACTTAACTGCTCTATAAATTATTACTGATGTTCCTTTTGTCTTTTAAAATGTACAGTATTGTAGGTCCCACCCATCAATGTAAAAGCAGAACATTTTAAGAAATCAGCTATCATTTTTTTTTTTAAGATTTATTATTTATACAATGTTCTGCCTGCACATATGCTTGCTGGACAGAAGAGGGCACTAGATCTCATTATAGATGATTGTGAGCCATCAAGTGGTTGCTGGGAATTGAACTCAGGACCTCTGAAAGAGCAGCCAGTGCTCTTAACCTCTGAGCCATCTCTCTAGCCCCAGCTATAATTTTGAAATCATCTGACAGCTAATTTTTTCACTATGTCTTCCTTCTTTCTTCAACGGAACCACCTCACAAAAATAAGAGAACTAAAACAATCCAAACATGATTATTTTTAAAAGGCCCAAGAGGTGGAGGGTAATCAATGGCTTCTCATTTATTTGGCCAGAAACAAGTGCAAAAAAACTGTAATGAGGTGTTTTGTGTATCTGCATTCTGTCCAGAAGAGACATTTTTTTCTGAAGCATGTGAGGACCGAAGGCTCTGTCTTCTTGTAGTGGTTGTTCTTGTCTCAATAATCTCAAAGCCAACTTCCTGTAAAGTCTCTCCTTCACTGTTGATCTGCTCATGTTGTCAAAGGCATCACTAACACTTTAGTTCCTATCCCTGGCCTTCAGTAAGTTGCAGACATGCTAGTCACCATGCAAAGCCTCCTCTTCCTGCAAATGATCCTCCAAGCAGCACACTACGCTTACAGCTACTGCATTCAAACAGGCAAGTTCTGTTAGTTTGCCAACTTCCTGCAGACCCTTGTTCAGTTTCTCATTATAGCTGTCTGGAAGACAGACTGGTTCAATTCTAACTGTCTAACCCCGTGTGATGTCAAATTCTCCTCTACCTGGCTACTTTACATCTGTAGATGTACCACCTCCTGAGTACATCTACCATCTCCAATGCACTCATCCCCAAGCTCTCTACCCTGAGTTCAGGCCACTGAAGCCCACTTGCCAGTCTTTGCCGAGGGAAGGCTGCTGAGGGGGTAAAAGAGGCTTTCGAAGCCTAGTCTTGCCATGAGGATCCAAAGAACCTTCTACCACGGTGTTGGCGCCATGGCTTCTCCACATGTGCACAGAGGACCACTTGCCAAATGTTAAATGAAGTACACAAACTTGTTGTCATTGCCTATTTGTGGTTCACATCATGTCACTTTTAAACCAGAACCTTTTCCTCTTTTATATCATTACCCGTTATTTAGCTCTTGAGTTCTCTGCTTACTCGTCTACAATCACCAATATAGGAAAAGGCCTGTGCCTCTGCCACAGACCTGTAGAGAGAAAACGGGGGCAATCGGGCACGTGAATCCACTGAGCAACACTCTACTGCGGCCTCGAGACCCAACAATCATTCACTTCTAGGTGGCAACTAGCTCCTAGCCCAGGTCCTCCTCAATTCCACTTTAGTAGGTTTGTTTTTTTGTTAATTCCTGCTCCATCCATGACTGTGCATGGCACACAGCAGCACTCAAACAAGGAGCCTTCTCTGATCTGATAAAGACTTTTTATGGAAGGAGGCTGCTGCCTTTAGAGTAGGTAAATACAAAACCTACAGCTCAGATGTCAGAGCTGAGCTGAGCTGTAAGTGGACACTTCAATGTCAGTGCTCTACACTGTGTCTGTTTGTTACAAACTGCACAGCAGATGGCAGTAAAACATCTTGACGAAGGGATTCTTTCATCATTTGAACACAGGTCCTGTGTAGGCTAACGACAGCCCTGCTGAAAAGCCAAAGAGAAATCTGTTCCAGTGAGAATTTCATCACAAATAATAAATAATGGGTAAGTCATAGGCCAATGAACTCAAGAGCTGTCCCATGCCACAGTTTCCATACGCTTTGCCCAGGCTTCTGGGGAGAACGCTGAGCTGCTTGCCAGTCTTTCCCCCGATTTCCCACTCTTTATCTCTGCGAGTCGACTAAAGGCACAGTGTGTGGTAGAGCAGCACGGCTGCACTGGGCTCCATCTCTGGGCAGCTACTGGCCTGGCTGTGTTCCTAACAGACTCAGGCCTCCAGGCTTAGTCTGACAAAATTTTTTAAAAAGGCAAGGAAGATACACACATTTCGTTTCCGACAGTCTTTCTGTTTCTACACCCCCAGAGATTGTGGTTTTGTCATGAATTCAGAAACTCTCCCAACGTTCTCATTGACGATTCATACAGGAACCTGAAACAAAAAGAAAGACAGATTCAGTTCCCTCCAAACGAGCAGAGTTTAGAAGTGGTGTGCAAGCAGACACACTTAAAAACAGCTGTGATCTATGAGGCTCTGACCTGCACAGAGCACGGTACGGTGCCAGGCTCCGTACTTTTGCAGAGCCCATTACCATGGGGCCTGGTAGCTGCGCCCAGGCTCAGGCTCAGTAACACCTGCCCACCTGGTGTACCCAGCGGAGAATGCCTTGCTTAGTACTAATCTTTTCTGCCCTCTATTCCTCATTAGCGCCATGGTACACAAACACACAACGTGGCTTCTCCCACCCAGCATTAGTCCTGACTGTTTACTGAACATGAGAAAACGAGGAAAATGAAAACCATCCACCTTTACCATCATACTCTGCTACAATGCCCATCCCTTCTGCCTCCAGCTGCCTGAATACTCTGGCCCAGTGATGGGAACACTAAGACCATCTCTCTCCTCCCTTGCAGGGGTCTACTCTAATCTAAGAACCAGGGACGGGCCGCTCCTCTGTAAATCACTGCAGTCTGTCACTGCAGACATAAACATACCCATTTACAAAATGCAAGGTTCTGTGATATTCCCTCTTCTCCCTGTCAGCTGACACTCCTACTTACCAGTGGCATATGTGGTTTGGTCCCAAGTGCCCTCTCCCAAGATAATCCTCAAACTAGCCCCAGCCAACCCCAGAAGTCACACAGACAAATTAACACTGTGAGCCTGCAGAAGTCATGTGACTGTCCCTTGTGAGAGGACTGATGGCCAGTACCCCCGGCCCGGTGCACTGACCACACGTCTAGGGTCAAGCAAAAAAGGGTCATATTTCGGATTTCACACAGCAACACTAGGAGACAGAAAACAGGCAAGGGCCTCTTCAAAATGCCTCTTGAGTCAAATGGATGCACTACCTATCAGCTGTCACCGCCAGACACAACTACCCACTGGCACTGGCTACCCACCGCCACTCACATGCTCAGCAGCCTCTGTAAAAGCAACAAAACCTAGAAAAGGGATTTACTATATTCCCCCTTGCCTGTGGATGAGGAATTTTATCTAGGCACTTGTATATTTTAAGTCACTCTTCCGCAGAGTCCATGTCAGGAGGTCTTTGGAATCACTTCTCCCTTTGACTCACAATGTTTCTTCAGTTCTTGGCACTGAATGTGATGGGTACCTCTACAGTCTCTGGGGAACAGACACCCGGATCACCCTTTCCGACCAAATAGACTGTCTTTGAAAGACTCACTCACATTAGTATCTTACTGCATACTTACCATGTTCCTGCATTCAAAGCTCTTGCTGTCCCCTGAGAGGGCACCCACAAGGATTCAGCCCCACCTAGAGTGAACACTTCTCGGGTAGAGATGGAGCAGAGGGAGCAAGGATCTCACAGGCAGCAGCAGGTAGCTGCCCCGTGCTGTAAATACCAGAAGTGGCCCAAAGCTCTCCCAACTGCAAAGCTGAAAAGGTGTTACCCCATGTCAGCTTTTTTTTTTTTTTTATTTTTAGTTTATTTACTTTACATCCCAAGGGTGCCCCCTCCCTCTTCTCCTCCCAGTCCCTCTACTTTCCCCTTCCTCTCTCCCTTTTCCCCCAGAAAAGGGGAGCCCTCTCCCCCACATCATATGGAAAAATTAAAACTACATGGTATTGACATAGAAGCAGGTCAGCTTTTTAGGATATGGTCCACACCATTATTCTAACACTACTGACTCAGGGTCCTCTGCCCCACTGCAGGCCCTCAGGGGATACAGAATGCCAGCCCAGGATCCATTGCTGAGACAGGGAAAGTAGCACATGTTGGCACCTTCATGAGTATCACTGCCTGCTATGGGAGGGAGAAGAGTTAGGTTAGCCTCACAGCAGTGCCACCCCTTTCTACCGCCTTCGACAGCTCAGACACCCGGCAGGACCTGCACAGGCCAACCTGACTCACAGATCACCCTGGCACAACTGTTGCAATGCCAGAGGCTGCTGTCCCTGGGACTGGTTCACTGTGTTTCTGGAGCATAAGCAGAGCAGCCACGATAAGGGCAGTCAAAGGGTGAAGCAGAGGGGATGCGGGTTTCCGAAAGGGAAGGGCAGTGGCACCACCTTAGACTAGAAGACTCCTGAGCCCCCGGGTCTGCAAGTGTGGCATTGAACAAGTGACCCAGCAAATATGTGACACCTCAGTCTGAGCACCAGCAGGAAGGACACACAGCCTTTCTGTCCCGGCAATACCACATGCCAGGAACATGGAACAGAAAGACAGAACAATATTGCTTTTATTAAAAAGTAGGAGTAATTGTGAATGAACTGCTTTTAATTATCCACACATGCCTACTCAGGACTGGTGAAAGGAACACTTCTAAACAAGCTATGAAAGCATCCTGCCACAGAATAATCTTTTAAAAGGACCACTACACTTCTATAAAGGAAAACAAATGAATCAATGCCCACTGATCAGTGTACCCTCCTTCCAGACCTTCACAGCAAAGGTGCTAGTAGCCACACACGAGTACTGGCAAGAACGTGCTTGCCATAGGCTTAGTCCATCAATTCACTGGTAAGCATTCATGATATAACACAGACTTTAACATATTTCCGTAACTTTGAGTGACATACACATTCTATCCTCATAGTGATTATGAAAGTGGTAAATACAACATGCTTGGTACGTCAATGCAAGTCTTTTGGCAAACATTAGTGTTTCTGTTAAGAAAACATGCCCAATTCACCATGTTCTACAGCAAGGGAAGCAATTAAAGCACAATAGGAACAACTTTGTGTTGCCCCTAACAGACCAGACAACCAAATACCAGCCCTGCTGGGGAGAAAACTGAGCCCTACCAAATGAGAGTGTTTTCTCCTTATAGAGATCCTCCCCACTGGCAACAGTTCAGTGGAGGACGGCTGATGGCAGAACGTTGCAAAAGCCATGGAGACGAACGCAAAGCATCTATCAGCGTTAAACCCGTTAAGGTCCTTCCATGGTATGTGAGCACAGGTAGAAGGGACTAGCAAGAAGGGCCTTGGGCTTCACTCTTCAACATCCAAAACCCTATCCTCACACACAAGATTCTAGCAAAAACATGCTGACTGCCATATGCTGCGACTGTTCCCACACTCTAGGAAAACAACATTTCTAGCTTGTAGTCCTAATGTCCTGCAGGTAACAGGACATCTGGCAGACATGCTCATCCAGGAGTTCTCTGAAATGCAATGTTTATCTTGTCATCTCTCAACAAGTTTCTAGGCCACAGGAAGGTCACAGAACTGAGTTGGATTTCTTCTAAATACACAGCAGCAGAGTCCATCTGCATTGACATCACTGTGGTAAACAGTCACCAGTTTAAGTAAGGCATTTCCTTCACAACCTTCAAACTGACCCACACATTCCACACAACCCCATGGGGGAGTAGATTGTCAGGGAAAGGACCTTTTTTCCTGGAGACTGCTCATTCCTGTACCTGGCCACACATAAGCCCACAGGCTCCAGCTGGAGACTTTGATTAGTGTTCATCCAGCACAAAGGGCCCTCCCAATCCCAGCGTGGGGCTCTACGTCCTCTAAAGCTGGAGTTACTATGTTTACTTGTCATCCCTTAATTTTTACAGTTCTTTCTCTCCAGCAAATAATCCTCTATTCCAACTCCATTAAAAATTTTTATCTTTGGTTTATCTCGCTGGGGACCGAGGAGTCAACTGCAATGGGTTGGTTCAAGGCTGCTGGCAGCGTGAGGATCTGAGGCCCCACCCCAGCCCGGCCTGGCAGGTAGCAGAGGCAGCAGGCTGTGCCAGGATGGAGGTGGGGGCATGTTCCTGTAACCTGTAGCCCAGGGAAATGTTACGCTGGGCAGTGCATCTAGAAGGCAGGCCACGCAGGGTGAACCATGCTGCAGTGGCTGTTGGGCACCGAGTGTACTCCTTCTCGGTAACTGCTCTGGTGAAGACTGAGACACTACATCAGACAGATGTGCTGGATACCGTAATTAGACAGTTGTGAGCTGCCATGTAGGTGCTGGCAATCCAGCTCTGGCCTCTGAAAGAACAGCCAGTGATCTTAATTGCTGAGATGGCTCTTGGTTGTCAACTTGGGTACAAACTAGAATAAATTAAAACCCAAGCTGCTAGACACTCCTGTGAGCAATTTTCTTAATCAGATTATTTGAAGTAAGAAGATCCAGATAAATTGGGAGGCAGAGGAAGGGAGGGTCATACTTTCTAGAAACAGCCTACATAAAATGGCATAGAAAAAGAACATTTTGCTTTTTGTTTGTGTGTTCTCACTCTAACAGCAAGTTTATCCTGTTGCTGCCAATATTAAATTCTATAGGATTCCAAAACACACTAAAGACTAGCTGCTGTCTTCCAAGATACCAGCATCAGATTGGTAGTGCTGAGACATCCAGGCTCATGGACTAAACAACTAGTAAGACGCCCAAGGTTGGACACTTAGACCTCACCCTATAAGCCAGTATAATGAAACTCCTTTTAAAACAGATTCAAAGACAGATACAATCATGGAGCCATCTCTCCATCCCCTGCCTAACACTTTTTTTTCTTTTTTGATTTTTTGAGACAGGGTTTCTCTGTGTAGCCTTGGCTATCCTAGACTCTTTGTAGACCAGGCTGGCCTTGAACTCACAGGGATTTGCCTGTCCCTTCCTCCCTGAGTCCTGGGATTACAGGTATGTGCCACCATGGCCAGCCTGACTAATGCTCTTAACAGACATTCCATTTTGTCTGCTGGGCTTGCCTATCAGCCATTGCACTAATCATGACACACAGCATCATGGGAAAACTGACCCTGAACTCTAGGTAGGTCCTCCAAATCCATTCCTCTTGCCCACATACCGATCAGCCACCCCCATCTGGCACAGTGAGGAATCTGACCAGAACTTGAGATGGTGAAGCCCAGAGCCAATCAGCCACCCTATTTACCAAGATGCCCCAGAACCAAGGTTCTGCACCTCTGACCAGAGATACGGGGCCCCAGGCTGGCCT